CGATTGCTGCAGGACGGTTTTATTTTTGTATTTGCTCGCTTTGTTTCAATGCTGCAAGTCGGGGAGACGGGATTTAGGTGAACGAAATTTCACTTGATGTTCATGCTAATTAGTTTTTTAATTTTCTGTTAACAGCTGTATTATGCCCTTGAGGTATTACCAAAAATATTGGCCATTACGTTCTTTGTCTGCATCTGAACAGTGCAGTGTACTATACAAAATAATAACTTTTATAAGGGTGCTATCTTGTCCAGGTATGGGGCTTATGCGAGATCAATTCCAAAAGCAAATTGTGTTTCCAGGCAGCAAAACGATCCTTCTAATCCTTGATGGTAGGTTCGGGTTGTAAGATATAGCAAAGTGTGTTCTAAGATTACAGGACTAAGAAAGGACTAGACTTTACATTGTACCAGTTATCTGTGCGTATAAAGGTTACTATTGTAATGTAATGAATCGGCAATTTACTCGGATAACCCACTGGATTTAGTTACTGCCTAGAGTTTTATGAACACATATTGTGTTTGGTATATGAATGCCATTGGTTGACAAATTTTTACTAAGTTTTACTGAGAGAATACCAACGAATTTTGAGATAATCCGGTAATATATATTTTAAGTCGAAAATGATTACTTTAAAAAAAATCTGAGCTCTATAGCCTATTATATATATATATAACAATAACAATAGCCATAAACAAAACCCGAAGTAAACAACCAAAATACTTTCATGAAGTTAATGGCTAAATGCGGTCCTGGAGAAAATCTCGGAAAAAGTCAAACACTGAACACTAAATTCATCAATAAGGACCGCGCTGGCCACCTGAAAATGTCTCAATTGGACCAATTGAATTGGTTCGTTTGTTAAATGAAAATACTGTAGATAAATAAAAAATAAAAATAAAAACTTAACCAACAAAATTTCATTGAATCTATCGGAAACGATTGGGCATGTAATATTTTCACTTTATGCATTTTTGCAAATAATTTTAGATGGGCGCTTTGTACGTCGGTTCGCTTTGAGTTCCAATAAAAGCAAATGTAGCGTTCAGCAGATAAGTAGATCAAATCAGCATTGAGGTTTAACTTGATGGAAGAGCAAAGATGCGGCCAAAAGGGGAGGAATTTAGTGAATGTTCCGCGATATCGATAATTACTTTGCGGGGAATCACCCGCCGTGGGGCGGCGACCATGCGTTGCGAATTTTGATATAATTTACCGGGCACAGGGCCGGCTTTAGAAAGGTGTTAAATTTCATCTACCTGCGATGAAAATATTGTTTGCACAGTCACCTTATATTTAGCCATAATAAATCTTTCACATTTTCATATCCATTGTGACAAAAGAGGCATGTGACGAAGGAGACATTTTTCACAATAAAAAAATCTATTTTCCGAGTGACACAATAAATGCACACAAAATATTGCATTAATTAAAAAGAAAGAAATTGGTTTACATTACATGAAAAAGAAGATAACCTTCAAAATCATACGATGCTTGTTTGTAACGCGCAAAATAACAATAGCGAAACCATTGTCTGCAGGGGCGCCATCTCGTGCCAGAGTTATAAACTACATGGGTTACAGAGTTTTTTTATAAGTAGGTAATGCTAAACTGTGTATTTTATAACAAAGCTGTTTTTATTTAGGCGTTTGGTTAGGCGAAGTAGACATTAAATATAAAGACAAGGTTTGGTCACTGGTTGATAATACTGAGGAGCTACTTATTTGTTATTCTATTTTAGTTTTAGCATTCTGTTTCATACAAAACATATGACATAATATGTGAAAACTTGGATATATTATATCCAAGTTTTCACTATTGCAATATGATGGGGACATGGGGTTATAGAGTGTGATGCTAACTTTCAACCTTAATTAAGACATTAAAAATATTTTTATATTTAAATGAAATTTTTTTTATTAATTTTTGTTATTTTAAGTTCTTATTTATGAATCTAGTTCTATCCTAAGCAGGATTTTAAGTTTAAATAACTACAAATTTACCACTAAGTCAACTTTAAAGTATTTTTTACGGTCAACCAAAACGGTTTTATAACGGTATAGATAGGAAAAATTACCAAATTTGGGGAATGGTTTATTTCGTTATTTTACCTACATAATAACCTTTTTGATCTACTAAGAGAATAACGTAATAAAAACAATATAAATAGCACAAATTTACGTAAAAATAACGCTATAATTACTAAATGTTTGCTCTCTCTTTCTAAAACACAGACATTCGTAATTTCTTTGTTCTTTTAATTTATATTTTACAAAATGGTGCTTACAAAGTAATAAAGGCCACCCTAGAGTAAAATTAAAAAATATACCTAACTTAAATTGTCAAAACTAATAATATTTTCCATTAAAACATAAACGCACAATATTTTATTGATAAAAATAAGCACGATACATCTTAAAAATTATATGCCCCCTAAATATTTTACGATTTTAAGAAAAATTATTGCTTTGGTAAAAATTCAACAAAACTTAACAAAATTTTATAAAATCTTTTAAAAATCATTTAGTTAGGAATTATATACGATTATAAAGTGGTCTTAAAGTAGTAAAATTATGAGTAACATTTACCATTAAGTAAAAATTCTGACGTTAAAATTACCGTTAAATTTTCCTTTAGGTAAAATACACTTACACTTCCCACATAATACTTTAAAGTGTTGAAACTTAAGGGTTATTAAAATAGGTAAAAATAACATAAATAAAACTTATTAAATAACTTTAAAAAAGTTTTACTTCAAAGTAAATTTTTAAGGTTAATTTAACGAAATATTTACTTAAATTAAGTAATATTGCCTCAAAGCTCTACGCTTTTACTTAAAATGCTGCTTGGTATATTATCTGTCACAATTTATTATTTTTTTAATAAGAAATGTTAAGGACAACTGAAAAATGACAGAGAGCATTAAAAGTAGGTATAATGACCCATAAAATTATCTATTAAATTTGTAAGAATTTATTTTAATTTTAATTACTTAAACCTTCGTTTTATTAACCTGTTAATAAATAAATCCATCCCCAAGACACTAAAAAAACTACCGTCAACCCGTTTAGATACTTATTTGTTAACCAAGATAGATATATGTATACAGAGTGGTCAAAGTGAAGAGAATTAACTTAGGTACCATAATCTGTCGTAAACTCCAGCAGATTTGATTAAACCAATAAACGCTTAAATAATTTAAATCCAAAGTGGTTACATTGGGAATTTTTACGAATTAACTCATTTGAATTTCATTAGATAGGGTGAAATTTATTTTAATGGAATCATTAGGAGATTGAAAAAATAGTCAATAAATATGAAAAAGTTCTTTAAAATAATAATAAATTTGTATTAAAAATTTCTTGATTAAGTTTAAAGATATAAAAAAATAAAAAAAAAGTTGTGCTCCAGGTGAGGCTCGAACTCACAACCCCGGCATGGCTCACGACTACTGTCTTATAAGTACCGTGCGCTAACCAATTGCGCCACTGGAGCGATGGTTAAAAACTCGCTTACGACCGTATTTAAACACCACATATGCACCACTTACGGCTTATCTATGATTTATTGGAATAATTTTTGTCAATGACCCTCGTAGACAAAATAAACAATTGCTCGTCTATTTGCTATTTAAAATTTCAAATTTCGTTCAATTTACTCCCGCACAATTAACGTCAAGCGGAATTGTTGTTCATTATTGAGTATTTTTGGAGCTGCATCGTTAATAGCAATTAAATGAATTAAAACCGCCTTAATTACCCGAAAAATTTAATTTAGCGCCAGGCAAGCGCAAATTAATGCCTTCTCGCTGCATTTTGCTTCGATTTTCTTTGCCAAGAAATTTTAGGTTTTATGGGTATAAAATGCACCATTTTAAATGAACAATTAAATTTAATTATCGAATAAATAAATTACATATGTCTAACATTCATTTAATTTAAGGTTTATTTAATAAAATTTTGTACACTGCCAAGTTGGTATTCAATGTAGCATTTTTTAATAATTAGTAATTGGCATTACTGTTTTCCAGTTTTAAATATTTTGACAGTTTGAGAATGAATTTTTGTGATTTTGTAATTTCTTGATAAACCGTTAACAATTTTAAATTGAAATGTCTAAGATTATGACAGAACATAAGAAAATAAAGTAAGAATAGTATATTACACTACAAGGGCAGAAAGTGTGAGATTCCTGCACTGCGCGCCATGATGCCCGAGGCGAAGCCGAGGGCATCATGGCGCGCAGTTCAGGCCTCTCACACTTTCTGCCCGTGTAGTGTATACTATTTTTCTTGCTACCCCGCAGAAAATACGGGAAAAAATTAAATGTATATAAAAAAACTTGTGTCAAAATTAAAATCTGACGTTTAATTTAATTCTGACGTTTACATTCAAAATCAATCAAACTGTAGCGTTGTCATGGTAATTCAGCGGTGCCAATACAGTAAAAATAAAAGGTTGTATTTTAATTAAAAAATTACTACTTTATAACAAATACAAGTATCATTAAACGCTTAAAACAACATAAAAAGTAAAAAAGTAAAAACATAAATTGTTTATTTGTTGTTATAATTGCAAAATTATGGTTTAAAACTGTCATATTTTTGTGTTTCTCATGTTGGCAGTACGAAATTTGAATGTTAAGCACACGACTAAAAAATTTTTACTCCCGCTATTAGAGTGTGCGCGTATAGCTTGACCAATGCAAGAAACGTAAACTTTCTGCCGTGAAATCGGGGACGAAACAACGTATTTTGAGTCGAGGTAGTAAGAAAAATAATTGTACACTTATATTTTACAAAATAAAAGATTTATTACTGACTTAACCTATATTTTATCAAATGTCAATCTTATTTTATTTGTTTTTTTTGTTCCAAACTGTTTGTATTTATCACAACCGCCATGAGAATACATTATTTTGTCTCGTGTGGTACACAGTGTTGCCGATTTATATTTCTACAGCATTTTCCTGCATTTAATAATATTATGTCTTTTTTTCAGATGGAGAGAATACAAAAAGGGTTGATAGTCATTTTCGGCGTGATTTTTATCATTACGCTTCAAGTTGGCTCTTCAAGTTTACATTTAAAGGTAAGCAGTTATAGACATACCTACCTATTTTAATACCAAACTAAAGAAAATATTTAATTTAATCTTGAAATCTATTAAAATTGATTTTATTATCGCAGATCGCTTTATTCAATATGCCACGGGCTGTTGGAGCTGTTAAATCATCGTTTTATAGGAATTTTTAGAATGGAAATGGATATTTCTTGTCCTGGGCACTTAATTTTAAAAGGATTTTAAAATAATTTTATATATTACCTATAACCTACTAAAGTGCTTTCGCAAATCCTTAAATGTACATTTCTAGAATTGTTTTCGTTTCTTGAAAATATTTTTTTAATTTTTTATGGCCAAAGCAGTATTTGAACATTTTGCTAGATTAAATGCATTAAGTAAAATAAAAATTATTAATTTAACAACTAAAAACATCCAACAACGCAATAAATATTTAATTTAAACTATTTTTTATAAATCAAACTTTTAAATTTTATATTTTTACATAAATTTTTTATTAGCCTTCCAACTATAAATCAAACAGCAGATATTGGCGTTCAAAACGTAAAATATTTTATGTTTCCTGTTTTTAAACCATTACAAAAAATAAAAGCGATTTTTCAAACAGCGGGTATCAATTTTATGAAATCCCAACTGGGAAAATTTTTTTTTTTAAAATACAAGCAATTTAATTGTTAAGTTGCTGAAATTGATGACAATTTTTAAATACCTAAGAAAAATTTAAATATTTAAATTTATATGACTATTTGAACTCTAAATAGTACCTAATAACAATTATTGCAATGTTAGCTAAGCACTTTTACATGATGAAGAAGATGTATTTGTATACCTACCTACCTACATAAAATTTCTTCTCACAAAAAAACCTTTTAAAAATAAATATCAAGTATTTGAATAAAAATATAACAATCCAAAAAACCATTTAAAGTGTTCTGACATCAAAAGTTTTTTAATAAAAAAATTAACGAATATTCAAAGTTTTATTCCGCCAAGGGTTTTATATTTAAGTCATTTAATGTTGTAACCAGGGGCGTGCTGGCAGACCAATCCAGGCCTGGACTGGATAGTAGAGCAGTCCAGACTCAAGCCAGTTTCAAATATATACTTTCTAGCTATAGCTAGTAAAAAATGTAATACCTATAAAATAAAACCACATTCACCTACCTATGTAGTAAAAGTAATATTATAAAAAATTCTTACAAGATTAGATATTACGAACACTAAAGGCACATACCCGATTTGAAAAGCGGTTATAGATTTGTTTTTTATATATTATACCCACAATCTTTACAAAAAAAGTCGATAGAAGGCGCCCTACCTACTGTCGATCTCTTTAGAATGCGAACAAAAATCAACTGCTTTGCGCACCACGTGAGCAATCTTTGATTTAGGTATTTTCCGCGTTAATGGTTTTGTTTTGGTTTATGGTAAGTTCTGTATAATAAATGCAGGCATGTAAGAATTAAAAATAGTTGTTTTAAGTTCTAAAGTAAACGCAAATGTTTTTAAATATAAGATTTAACAGTTTTAAAGCAAACGCACAATATTTGTGATTTTTTTTACTGGTATCGCCATCTGTCAATGAAATTATGAATAAAATTTGCTATAAACTATAATAAAGCTAGATTGTCAAATTCAATGTATAATTTCGTTGTTCGTAGTGTACATTAATAATTAATGAATAATTATGCCCAAGCTTTGTTAAAATTTGTCATTTTAAAAGGGAAGATAAGCAGTCCAGCAGGCCACCAAGTGGTGCAGGCCACCAGGTGGTGCAGGCCACCGGGCATTCGCCCGGTGTCCCGGCGGCCCAGCACGCCCCTGGTTGTAACGAACATTTATGTAATTTCTAGATGCTTGAAAAATTGAAACCAGCAACATTATGATGTCTGTCTGTAACCTTTCATTTAAACACTAATTGCATTACAATTTTTATGTTGTTTATGTTTGTTATGTTTGTGTTTGAAATATTAAAAGGGATTTGTCTATTGCATATAATAAACAAAACAATTTTATTTTATTTTTGTGAAATTTTATATGGATTTACGGATCAAATAACCAATTTAAATGGATAACATAATTCAATAATATTATGAGCTTGAATCCAACAACAAGAAATAAGAATTTTCATATCTTATTCAGTTTGGTAGATTGGCTTTTGCATTAGAATAGTATGTCTTGCACTAAAAACCAAAAAGACTGAAAGTGTTTTATTTCACCTTTTCAGCATTTTACCGTATCAAATATAAAGCTGCTATCCATCTATAAAACGCTTTGAAAGGTGGAATATTTTAAGAGTTCTTCAAGCTCGCAGCCAGTAAAAAAAGTTATAAAACATTTTACGCGATTTTACAAAAAACAAAATTAATTGATTTTAGGTACGTGGGTAACGTATAGGTACATTCTAAGAGTTTTAGATTCAACATAAGTAATTACACTCACAGGCAAAATAATCGATCCACTCAAATTTTCGATGAATTTCAATCGCAAATAACTTTTTTATTTGATTTTGGATTTTAAATATTAAAGAATATTGTAGATAAATTAATGGAGAATCGCTCACATTTTAAAAATTACTAAAAAATACACGTACGTTTATAATATACAGGTTTAAACAAAAATATGTTTTTTACCATAAGTTTAAGACACTCTGTAGAGTGGCAAAACCGTATAATATTTTAAATTAAGTTTTAATTATCAAGTCACATCTATTTTTAACAGTTTTGTTTTTGGTTCACTTTGATATATTTATTTTCGTGGAAAATAAGGATTTTTTTTTAAAAACATTGCAATTTCCAATATTTTTCCTGTATGAAGAACCAAGGTTGCTAAGGTCCATCCATAGCCTATGGAGGATGACAGTGACAGTTTTGTTGAATCATCCCATACTTGGACCTGTCATATACAGCTTTCAAAAGCTATCAAATTGTTTTTTGTAAATTAATGTGTTACTTTTGAGGTGTCTTCTTACTTTAAAAAATGTCTCCGACTGATGTTGCTCTTTGTACTTTACTTCTTGTGACGTTTAAAACACTTGCCACGTAATACTGTGACCGTCCATCCTGGATTAAATTAATAGCTCTGGCAACATCAGTCGGAGACATATCCATTTTATAAAGTAAGAAGACACCTCAAAATTTAAACATTAATTTGCAAAAAAACAATTTGATAGCTTTTAAAAGCCGTGTATGACATAGCCTATGGATGGACCATAGCAACCTTAGTTCTTCATACAGAAAAATATTGGAAATTGTAATGTTTTTTTAAAAAATCCATATTTTCCACAAAAAGAAATATATCGAGGCGAACCAAAAACAAAACTGTTAAGAATAGATGTGACTTAATAAATAAAACTTAATTTAAATCAATATACGATTTTGCCACTCTACAGAGTGTCTTAAACTTATGGTAAAAAACATATTTTTGTTTAAACCTGTATATTATAAACGTACGTCTATTTTTTAGTAATTTTTTAAAATGTGAGCAATTGTGCAATAATTTATCTACAATATTCTTTAATATTTGTTTAAATCCGACATCAAATAAAAAAGTTATTTGCGATTGAAATTCATCGAAAATTTGTGTGGATCGATTATTTTGCCTGTGAGTGTATTAATTAAAAGTAAAATAAAAAAAATAACAAAGCATTTGCACTGAGAAAAAGAAATATTTAATATTAAGAAATTAGAACAGTTGCGATTTTTTTAAAATATTTGTTAACTATTAAAAAAATTCTTAATCGTGAACAAATTATATACTAATTATTAAAACATCGTCCGGTGACTGTGTTTCAGACAAATAAAGGATAAAGTTGTCTTAGAACTGTGATATATTAACAGTTAATATACCTAAATTCGAATAAAACGTTTTAACATTTGTCAACATAATTTTAAATGCAATATGCGCAAGCATGTGACGTTGCCGTAGTTTTTTACAAAATGGAATTTCGATATATTAACAGTTAATATATCTACATTTGCTAATACGTTATAAGCTTCTTTAATTCAACTTAACCAGTTCTTAGACCCAAATTAATATTTCTTTCGCCATATCCAACTCAACGATATGTTAATAGTTAACGTGCCTCGTTATTAACAAATATTTCGTTCTCTCAGTGTGGGTGTCACCTAATCAATTTTCGTTTAGAAGAACATGCGGCACTAAAGTGTTCTACTAAGTGCCACAGGTTCTACTAAGTGCCTCATGTTCTACTAACAATCTAACCTTTCTTAACCTAAAATTTGGACTGAAGATTCAGTGAAGAAGTAAATGACAATTTAAATTTTTATGTCGAAGTTCTTGATACTCCACTAGAGAAGAAAAGATTCCACCCGAAAAAAAAAGTTAACTTTTACCTTTAGGAAATCTTGTCACTTTAGTGTAACACTTCGTTTAAATTGTTATGTCTGTATTAAAATTCTTTGAGTCGAACACAAAACAATATCGTCTCGGGCGACCGATGTTCCAGTTATTGATTTTGGTTCATGTCCAACAAAACACCATTGCGGATGCAAAGAAACGCTTCCCAGAAAGGCTGAAAGCATTAGTACTTTTATATTGCCATCTCCGTCGCCAGCTTTAACAAATCGCGTCAGATAAAACGTCGGGGGAAAAGTTTTTAGGCCCCGCATAATTAATTGGGACTTCCCCGGTTATATGCGACCGACATATCGCGTTCAAAGCCTACTCGTGTTTTTTGATTTGGTTGAGAAATGTTTTGATGTTTCCCAACTAAGATGAGATGAATCAAAAATATATTTCAAACTAAATTTTAATGTTTTCTAAATGTAAGAATATTCTTAAAAAAATTCACTTGATTTAAGTATAATTTGCTTAGGCTACGAATACATTAAATTTCTTTTAAATATTAACCTTAAATTAAAAAGATTTTATTTATTACCTTAAAATCAAGTACAGTTGAAGCAAGATAATTGACCTAATATTTTCAAGGCTAAAACTAACATTAAACTAAATATTAATCTTAAATTCTTAAATTAATTCTTCAAGCA